TTTCTTTCTTTCTTTCTTTCTTTCTTTCTTTCTTTCTTTCTTTCTTTTTCTTTCTTTCTCTCTCTCTTTCTTTCTTTCTTTCTTTCTTTCTTTCTGTTTAATTAAGTTGTTCATGTGTGGGCTAAACTGGAAAGTTGTCACAAGGACTCAATTCTGGATCACTGCCTCCTTATTTGTGTTTCATACTCTTTCCCCTGTTTTTTTACACAACAACACAGATACTGACAAACGCTTCCACTTATAGTGGGAGTAATTACATTACAACACTACTGCCTCAACTGAACGGAAATTACAAAAGTTCTAATAGGTTTTGAACAATTATTGTGGGGTTTTTTTTCAATATTATGAGTACTGAGAAAAATAATATATCTCCCAAAATAGAAAAATGCTCTCTAACTTATCAAAACTGTTTTGTTTTTTTCAGCACACAAATACTATTATTAAGTTTTCCCTATTTCGTTATTCCATTACATATGATGAAAGTGACTCTACATTGCATTCGTACAGTTCCACTTGTAAGAAGATAAAGAGATTACCAGTATTACACACCACCGGAGCAATTTTTACACTTTGCCTCTGGCTTAGAATTACAACATAGTCGCAAAGATAGCTATGTTTGTTCAGCAAGAGTTTCACCAAAGTTCTATCCACTGTATTGTTAAACCCATCATCAATACAGTGCATTTTTGGAGGTAAAATAAAACTACAAATATCTACAAATTGACAAAAGTCAATATAACACATGAAATATTGAGTTAGATCACCTTGTGCTGGTTTCCCTGCCACTCTGTAGTAAACATTAGTGATTTATGGGCTTCCTCCCAACTTTGTAAAGCGTGTTTGTTTGCCTTAGAAGGAGTCAGTGTTTCACTATAGCTGGAAAGAGGTCCTGCTTTGAGTTAGAGACCTTTTTTCCAGATAGAGCCATAGGCATACTGTACCAGAGATATGAAATAATGTTATAGCAATAAATATAGTTTTACTATAACATGTCTATTTAAGCTTTGTTAAAACTGAATTTCAGAATGCTGCTCGCATGCAATGCCCTCAAACAAATCATTGATTGTTTTTGTGTGAGTGTGCGTCTCTGCTGCCTATTCAATGGGCTGCACGGTGCAAATATATTCCACGACCTTGCTCAATAACTCCTTTCATGGTTCAGTGTTTGTTCCTCTGGTCTGTCAGACTAATTAGCATCATTATTTCATTTTGTTGCATCCTGACTTTTTATCAAACGAAATGGAGCTAAAATAATTCTTAAGCAGCCTTTAGAACTTTTATGAATCTTCCATTACAGGTGTGAGCTGCAACATCTCCTTTTTCAGTTAAATTTTGAGTTTTTAAGGAAAATAAGTTAAAAAAAGTCTGATTTCTGGTGTTCTTTCTTTCAGACACTCTTTATTTGTCCTCTAAATCACTTCCACCTTTATTCTTCTGCCAACTGCTGTCACTAATATTCCTATGTTGAAACTGACCATGGACCATGAACCACTTTTTCTGACTTCCATGTCACCCATTTATTTCTCCCCTTATGTCAACAGGCCTACCATATTTGATTCCAATTCTCTACCAGATGATGTCAATATAATTTCAACCTTTATCAAATAGTTTGCTATGTGTAAAAAAGCAAGGAAAGGGGATTCAAACCTGTCAATTCAGCTCAGCATACAGTATACAGTATTACCATCCAATAGTGTAAAACTTTTCTTTACATAAGTGTAGATATACAGTACATTTTCTTGATCTTATATTAACTGATTATTGTTTGACATTCATAATGTTATTATATCCTCTCAACAGAAGAATTCCCACTATGTGACAAGAAATTTATCATATAGGAATTTTCCCTACAGGCACAACTAACCCAGTGGCCTGGTTTGGCTCAAATTACACCAATAAATTGATGTGTCATGCTGCAGCAAGGGACCCATTATTTACACATTAGCACTGCGGGATTCCAGACAGATATCTAAAAATGACTACACATCTGTGCTTTGATACAAAACCGTTGTTAAGAGCAGACCTGTCATTATTTCTGTTGCAAGTCGTTTTTCATTTATTTGATGCAGAAGTAAAAGATCATATTGCAAACACCTTTGTAACACTATGTAACTCCTTCACAGTTCATTGTAGTGTTTACTGTAAGAGTGTTCGAGGAAGAAACAATATTCCTCCAGAAGCCTTCCCGGGGAATAGATATGAGCAGTCTTTCACCTCACAAAGAGTCTTACACAATTTCACATGAACAGAACCCCTAATGTAAATTACATCCTGTCATTTGTAATGAAACAAAACTTCTCATACTGAACAGGTGACACCCTCATACTCTGCCGTTTTACTCCAAATAATTAGACTGTTAATCTCCTATTGTCAGTCACTCATGCACAGTTGCTTATGATCCAAACCTCTCATAAAGTCGAACTCAAGCAAAGATATTAAACTGCATGTTCTAGCATCCTCCTCTCCACTGCCCACTCAATAATCCTTGCTCACTAACACACAATCCGACCCATCTATCTTGCAAGCTGTACTGCCAACATTGTTGTAAAGGGTCAAAGTAATTAGACGGAGAATAAACTGTACTTTGGGTTGTCTTGTACATGAAATGTGCTATGCAGATAAACTTGCCTTGCCTTGCCTTCACTAAATCCATCTTAAATTGAGTATATCCATAACTATGTTACAGTTAAAAGAGATATTTGATTGTGGTTTATCACCTTGTTAATGGTTCCTGCACTCTTGTTTCAAAGCTGGGTTCACAGTCAATGTTATGATGGCCATTCCATGAAGAAAAGAGACCAACGTTTTTCCAGAAGTGTTCATGACTTCACAGTCTGAGCCTTGTTCTGCCTGCTCTCCAATCCTTACATTAGTGGGGACAATTGTGTTTTTGAGACTGCTTAAGCCTAATTTTGTTCAACTTGAAAGGTGCTTCTTCACCTGACTGTAAACAGAGAATATCTCAGTGTTTTTTGGTGCAAATGGTCAATCTATTTTACTTTATACTGTGCTTTTCTTTAACAAAAAAAAAACATTGAAAAGCCATTTTTATTCATGAATTTGTCCAGACTCCCATCAATCTAATCCCTCTTTTTTGTGTCTGTCCAGATTTTTCAGGTCACTAATGATCCAGGTCTTGTTATTTGGAAACTATCACTTACATCAGTATTGTTAATATCGTTAAGGTTAGCTGGTCTTCACTAAACGGTAGAAAGACGAGAAGCAGACTGTAGTTGGATTGTTGGATTGCGAGGATAGGCATCTCTAACATGTGAAAAGATCTAATCCCAAGGTTTTTTTTAAAGAAAATCTGGTAGTATAGATTGTATGTGATTTACATCAATAAAGGAAAAACAATATGCTAACATAAAACCTTAACAGTTTTGGATTATTTGTTCATCACTGTAAAAAAAAAACCTACCCCCTCCTACCCCCCTAATTTCTTGTTGTTGACACAACATGAAAGGAGGGGTGCTTTATCCAATGGCTGTGACAGTTTCAATCTGGGGTTATGCTCCCTATCTGTTACACTTACCTCGACTGTCAGTCTCAGCCATGTCTTGGGAAGGCTACTGCTGCCATCTTTTTCTGCCGCCCACACTTCTGGCGGTGAAAGTCACAGCAGCATAAAAGGAACTGTTTGATTTATCAGCCTTCAAAGACTTATTTAATCAATTTCACATTTCTTAGTTTCGGTCCACAAACTTATTTGATGGCACCTTTACTGACCCAGAAGTTATTTACCATTCGTTTATACGGGCCAGTCAAGTATTCAATCATTGAACTCTTGATGCTGCATCTCATATGTTGTATGCATTAGCACAGTCATTGTCATGAGTTACTTTGTAGATTTGTAGACTTTGTTTATAGTCTGTGTTTTCCAGTTTAAGTTGTCTCTGTAGTTTGTGTTATGTGGTTTATTTTATCGTTGGAGTTTTATCCTGGTTCTCATAGTCTTCTCCGCGTCTTTCCTGCCAGGTCAACTAGCTCAACTCTCATCACCAGCACTCCTTGTCCTCAGCTACCTCCTCACAGTACTCACCGTCCTCTGTATTTTAAGCTTTCTGGTTTCACCCACTCTTTGTCAAGCCTTCATCAGTTGTCATCTCTTGTCGCAGTATGTCACATCGCTCTCCTCTCCCATTCTGGACACTGTTTTCTTCCTGGCCCCTTGTTTCCTTACTCACATTATCATATTTTTTTGTTTTTGTTTCTTGTAGTCTTTTGGTTTTTCCAAATTTAGTTTTTGCTGAGCTACGCTTTTTGTACATTTTTTGGTGAATAAATTATAGCACATCTCCAGTTTCCTGCTGTTCAGTGTCTGCACTTTTATCTGCACTCTCTATGTGACAGTCTGATATGGCCAAATAGGTAACCAACCCCCTATAGAGTAGCTAATTTAATTCTCGCGTCCTTCTGGTGTCCTAGTTTTCCTTTACCGTTTTATGGAGCTTCTACCTACTAGGTGCTATCTATCACTTCTCTCCACCCATCCCTCTGCCTTTCACTCATTCGTCTTCCTGCATTGCAAATACGAGCGGCTCGTTAAAAATACCCACAGAGCTGAATCTGCACATTTGTTCAAATGTTTTTTTCTTTCTATACTACGCATGCGATACAATAGAATACTTTACGCATAAATTCCTCAAAATTTCTTTCAGACTACAAACATACACATGTGGTGTATGCATTTTTAAAGTGACTGATAAAGCACACATCTTATAAATTGGTTTACATGCACATATCAAACCATTACATTATGAAACTTACATGTTCTCTCCTCATCCTGCTGAAACAGTTCAAACCTGTCAAGTAGGGGTCACTGAACATGTGTTAAATGTGTCCTGGAGTGTCATCTATAAAATGCATCATCTAATATCACAACTTCAAAAATAAAATCAAACCCAACTGTTTGTCTCTGTCGGTTGAAGTGAAAGTAGCAGTTAATGTGTGCTGAAAGTGGATCTTTTTTGTTTCAGGCCAATTCATTTAGATTTCTGGATCAGAATTTCATGGGATATTACCAAAGTGGGTCATTTGCACCTGACACTGACATATTCCATTACTAGGTTAGTGTGACAGAGGTTACAGTGAAAGTATGAGTTTAAAAGCAAACCCCAGATATATACCTTTGCATTTCCAAATGGATGAGAAAATAAATGGAAAATGCACAAAAAACAGAAAGAAAAAGAAAACATATAGAAAGAGGTCAGTGGCTTAGGCTCTGACAACATCTTTGGTGAGTGAGGAAGAAAGAGTTCAAGAGAGGCAGAAAAAGGAGGCTGTAGGAGGGGTGCATTCCTTTCAACATAATTGGGTTGTATTTAGTTCCCTCTGCTATGATCATATCTCTTTCCTCTCCTTCTCACCCCGTTCACCTCATTATTCTATCATGAGTATGTTAGTATAGAGGTGACACAGAAACAGTTAGATATGTGGAGTAGCAGAAGTGACTGAGAGATGATAAGGAGATAATACACTTTCTTGTAATTTTAGCTGGATTGGTTTTAGCTGGTTCTCAAGGCAACAGTATACATAGAAACATTACATCCGGTAAGAGCGCCTATCCGCACCTAACTGCTCTGTCCCTGGGGACAAGCCTCTGATACACAACAATATGTAGGTGTAGCTTCAGGTGAACTCTGCAGCTTGCATTTGGAAAACTGGACTTGTCACAATGTAGTTAGTTCACACAGTATTAGTTTTTACTGGAAAAAAGTCTTGGTTGTCATCAGCTCATATAGCTTGGAAGAGAGTGAGTTGCTATCTAATTTTTATTTCTCATCATTTAAAATCCATGACAGGGTTTGCATTACCTATATCAACATCCTCTTAATAATCCTTTTTGTTGAAAATGGATAGATAGATAGATAGATAGATAGATAGATAGATAGATAGATAGAT